CTCCAAGCAGCTGCAGAAATGGACACGAATGGGTTGTGCGGCTTGTCCTCGAGCATGGGGCAGAGGTGAATGCGCAGGGTAGCGGGGATGGCAATGCACTCCAAGCAGCTGTGGCAAATGGAAGCGAATCGGTTGTGCGGCTTCTCCTCGAGCGTGGGGCAGAGGTGAATGCGCAGGGTGGCCAGTATGGCAATGCACTCCAAGCAGCTAAATCACTACGTCGTGAATTGATTGCGCAGCTTCTCCTCAGACACGGGGCGGTTCCTACTGCAGGGGCTCGTCCGGATCACGGAAGTAGCTCAACCACCTAGGACACCCCCAATTGTTCCACCACTCGAATATTCCATCCCTAAAGTTGCCACCGACTCGAAATTCCCCCTTTCCTATCCCATATTCACGGGCTCCTTCTCTTGCCGTTGTTTCATACCACTATCACAACAAATCCCGACTCCTACCTATACACGCCGCGTTCCCAGCCGTCTACCGCCCCACAACCGTAATCTATTACGCAACCCAAAAAAATCAACTATTCATCTCCCTAGCCCCATATATCCTTCTACCGCCTGGTACCCTGGAGGACTTCCGCTGCTGTTTTCTAAATTTTGAATTACCTCATGCGGAGTTCACTCGAATATATAAACCCGGATCTGTGACCCTTGCTGCTTATCTGACCTCTCCAACCCTGCTATCTCTTGGTCTCCTTCATCCCACACCTAGTCCAACAACCCCAACACCCCCACCCGCACCACATTACAGTAGCCGCTGGTGCACACCGAATGATCTAACATAACCTTTTGCGCTAACTGACTCTCGTTCGACCCGGTCTCTTCATTCTCATTATTACCCGGCTTTGAGATGAAAACTGGCTATCTCGCGGATTGTATATTGTGGGGTTCACAGGTAGATCGCATTTACAGTCAATGTCCGAATCTGTCGAGTGACCCCGACAGAAGGAACAACGAGATGGGACTGGTCTGGAGGCTGTAGGAATCGATGAAAGGGGTTTGGAAGGCGAGGGAAGTGCCAAGTCGGCTTACCAATGTATTTATTAGCTAGTCGGGTCTAGTCTCGGGCTTTGGAGTTCCATTTCCTTTTTTCTATATTTCTTAGCCGACCCTCCCCTTCTTCTCCTTAGTGGAATAAGGCTGTGGTTATAGTTTTGTCGACGGCGACAGTTAGAGAAAAAGCCCTGCTTCGCTCTTGAGAGACGGATTGTTTGTGATCCTGTTTCCTTTGCTTGTTTTCTTTTTCCTCCTTGGTTATCTCCCCCCACCGACACCTGAACAATCCATTAGCCATGGGGCTAGCCCCTGCACAAGCAAGTATCATATTAGGTATTATCATACATAGAACTTTCCCTCGCAGTACCCTATCAAGTCCCCTTAGCGCCAATTATGACAACACGGTGAATAGATCCGCATTAGGCCTTGCAATTGGATATCAAGGGCTTAAAACGAGAGGGTTTGGCCTGACCTAAGACGGACGAAAGCTCGGCCTAGCAGGACTTGACCCAAAAACCTACAAAGTAGGATAACTCAGGGAACAATTTCGGTCTGCATGCGGAAATAACTTCTAGATATATACAGGAGTTGTAGTGAGTCAGATGGAACACAGGTGGTTGTTTTGTCCTGGGCAGGATAAGAGCAGGAAGGATTATCACTCGGTTGGTAGCTCAGGAATAAGTGTCGGAAGTTTTATCCCATTTCCACCCTGTTTAAATTCTATCTATAGCAATTTCCCGCCACTTCATTCTTTATCTCTGGCGTTTGATCCATCAAATTTTTGAATAGAGTATTGGGCCTGCTTCACGTGCCCTGGTTCTGGTATTTGCCCCATATCAAGAGAACAAACCCGTGTTTCGTGAGCAACTGGGATTTTGGTGCAGAAGAGGTTTAGTTCCTTCCCTTGTGAGACCTGGATATTCTGCCGCCTATCAAGGATTGGCTCGAATCCTTGGTGATCAGAGTTTCTTATTTTGTTAATTGAAGACCTGCAGGACACCAATTGTAATGAGCATTCCATCAGGACCCGGGGGCTGCCCCATGCCCGGGAGGGTAGGAGAAAATTCTTTTACCTCTGGTCTCTAGCTGGGTCCCCGTTCATGGTACTAAAAGATTTGGACTCAATTGTGCTCCCTGTGTGACCCGGGTTCGGAGAACCCATAGTGCCGGATTCGGGAAGTTGAAAATCCAGAAGTGACCTTCTGGTTGGTAGAATAGACAGTGGACTAGAGAGAACTCTATAGGCATCAAAGGAAAAGTGGTTGATCATTTGGGTTGCTCAAGAGCCAATTTCACATTATTCATTTATCCTAAGGTCGATGAGGGACAGAGCCAGCCACAGTTAAGTACTGCAGGAAAAAGAGATCTCCGGAGTAACTGGAGAAGGGAGGTTTGATTCGAGTGTATTTTCACATATTGAGCTTGAGAAAGATTGCAAGTAAGTTAAGCGATAGGCAGAAATTAGAGCTACAATAGTTCTTATCGGATGACATACTATTGAAAATAGTAGTTGATGACCACGCTTGGTGCGGGATGTGCTCATACATGGTGGTGGCAGTAGTATATGTCTGCACCACTGAAGAACGCGTCAGCTATGAAAAGTTTCCTCATCCCTGTCTTTACTTCTCTTTTGTTCTCTCTTACGAGACAACTACTTCCTGTACTTTACCTTTCTCCTTAACTTCTTCCTTTCAGCCATCCCAGAGCGATCAATCATGGTCCTCCTCTTTACCTGAGTAAAACCTCACATCTCCACTCGCATGATTATACTCAACTGCTTAAACCTCACTACCGATCATTACCTCCATATCAATCATTTTTCAACACTTACAGTATGAGTAATCGGTAAGCAACTCCGCAGATGGAGATAAGTGCTACCATACAATATTCAATGTTTGTATTGCAATGTATTGTAAATCAGTGGCACTCCGATTAATTACTACGTTTTCCTATTCTTATTAGCAATGCGATAGATTTCGCCGGAGCTGTTTGAGTCTCTGGTCCTTTTTCAACGCATGGCATATAGGCAATTTGGGAAGCAAGTCGAAATCTTCAGGAAATTCTCGTATATAGGTATGGCATGGATTGATATCTTAGAGAAAGAGAACATATCATATGTCGTGACCGGAGGAAAGATTGTTGGTTCGTGATGAGGAGCTAGGAGGGGTTGAGAGAATCCCGAAGAAAAGAAGCAAAAGAAGGGTTGGACGGGTTAGGTTGATCGCCAGAGTAGTGGTCAGGAACAAAGGGTGAATATTGGAAAGGAAAGCTTCCAGTATGCCTACAGATAGCATCCAATTGTGGTTCGTGGGGATGCGTAGCACCAAAGAACCTTCTTTGAGTAAATAACAACAGTGTAATAATGTTGGCCACATTAAGCAACACCTGAGTCGTGTGGTCACACCCTAGAAAACTAATTTTAACATGTCGTAATTAGGTCACTAAAACATGGTTGGCATGCTCTTGTAGGGTTAGTGCTGTCGCAATGAGAGAGAGATTCCATGCCTAAAAGGATCCAAGGTATATTCTGGGGTGGATGAAAGCTGATGCAAGTGATGTAGGTTAGGGGGAAGTTTTGGAAGCAGTGAACACACGACTGTGCCAAAAGTAGTCTGGGAGTACTGTATCATACTCTGTGGATTTTTCAGATACCGATTGCGCCGTTGTGGTTCATGCCCCTTACTCCAGGTTCACGTAGTCAAGATCATTCCTCTGGGTTCATCCCGGTTACTTCCTTATCAAATCATCTATCATAGCTGTGGCCATGAATTCTGCTGCCACCACCGGGAATTTTTCCTCTAGTCCTCGGTCTGCCTGTGAACCACGCGTATATTCCAAATTTCCAAGTTTGCAAGTCTGATAGAGGTTCAACAGGCTCCATTTATTCCTGCAGTACCGATCCAATATCTAACTACATTCCCCGAGCCCTAGAGCTCACAGACAAGCAGGAGACTCACAGGTTGCCATTAGATACCTCGGATCATGGATTATGATACAGGGCAATCGTATCTTCTATCTCCATTATCGCCGACCTGCCATAAAACACACCCCTACCCCATGCCTACTCATCTCGCATCAAAAAAAACCCACATATCCCATAACCGCTTATCTCCTAATCACATACTCGATAGGTAATCCCGCAGTTGAAAGGCTCGAGGAGGATTCCCATGCTAGCCCATTAACCTTACTAGAAATATAGTCATTCAACCGTGTTTTGTGTCGTTATATAGACTGACCTGGGGCCAAGCCTCGCAATGGGCTAGCCCTGGCCGTAAATTCTTAAGCCCAGCCCAAACCCGGCCCAAGTGATGGCTGGCCCAACCCGCACCCAACTGACCCAAACAAACCTCGGGCCACCCAGAAAGCTTAAACTATTCGGGAGCAGGGATCAATCCAATTAACTATTTAAACAAGTTAATTGTTTTAACTTCAGTACTGGAGAAACCTTCAAGCTGCACTGAATGTAGGAAAAACAGGTGATGACAGTGGTATGAGAGTTAGTGAACGGGATGAAGGAAAATCAGAAAACAGCTTAGAAAGGAAGATTTATTCTTGGATATGTGTTTCCTAAACGCTTTCAGAGATTCCCCCCACTATGGCTGTTGAGCGCCAGCTTCAAAGACAATGAAAGGCTGGAATAGTATTCGAAGAAAGGGAATACTGCAAATCGCTAATTGTTTGTTTGGTGCCACAGAATATTTTTTGAGGTTCAGCAGACATTGCCGGTATGCTATGAATATTGATTGTCCCCCTCGGCGGATCATACAGGATACTCCCTTTGCCTTACTCCATCAAACTACCATCTAGGACAATAGCATGTTAGAAAAATTTAACAAGAGAATGAATGCAGTGAAACCTACTGCTGTGGATTTTG